AACCCACATTCCGAAGCCACGTAGGGCTGTTTAAAGATTGTTGAAATATAAATTAAATAATAAGTTTAAAATCCTTTTTTTTACGAAGAATTTTGCTTCAGCACAGGGGCTTGCTCCCAACATGTAATAATTATTTATTAAAAATCATATACCATAATACTGGTATACTGCCTGCTGTATATAATTTTTTAATAAATAATTTTTACACGCCAGGAGCAAGCCCCTGTGGCCTCAGGGTGTATGGAATAAAACCTATGGTAAATCCCTGTATACCCGTGATTGAACCTGGAAACTGGAAACCAACTATTGTTTGCGAGCAAAAAATATCCGTGAGTTTTACGGCCGACATTTACTCGCGAATATTAATTGCCGTAAACCATTTATTTTCCATTGTATTTGTAAGCCAAAGGAATATTTCCTCAGTTGCAAATAATAAAAGTCAAGGATTCATTTCAAACTGACTGATCCAGAAAAAAAAAGATGACATGAATAATAGTTGGTTTACAGAACTTGTAACATATAAGTGTAAGCATTGACAGATAGTGAACCCTTGGTGGTAGAATGGAGCCACATTAGGGGACTGGAATTTTTATGTATGAAAGTGTACCCATATTTAGTCACCGATTTTCCTATTTGGTCCAAGCCCTATTAGAGCGACTATTACTAATACTTACGAATAGAAATAAATTATATATACAAGGTGGTAGATTAATCGTCATCATCATCAGGAACAAATATTTCACTTTCCTCCAGGAATGAAGCGCCCTCTCTGCCCATGATTGTTCCCAGAGTTAGAAATGGAGTCACCACAATGCCCACCTTAGCAAGACCAAACGGGGTCTTCTCGGGTTTAGGTAATAGTGCCCCTGTTTCCTTACACACCATTGTTCGTTTTTGTAAGAGATTCAACAAACGTGCAGAATTATTTTGGGAAAAACTGAGTGGTTTAAGTCGTGTTGACAGTACACCAACCAGTCTGGACGCCATGTTTGTTTTTGAGCAGAAAGTAAAGGACAAAACCCATGGGATTATTGAGAGGAATGCCCGAATTGCGAAATGCAAAAAAAGAAAAAAAAAGAGCTGCTTTGTAACTGCACACTTTATAATAGGCTGTCTATAACTGTAGTGTTATAAGATATCTATACATTGTCAAATTTAAGGAATTAAAAAATCCGTGAACCTAATATTTTAGCTCACCTGAGCGGAAAGCTCTAAGCTTTTCTAATCACATTTTGATTGTAGTCCGTCTGTCTTTCTGTCCGTCTCTAAACTTTTTTTTTTTTTTTTTTTTTTTTACATTTTCGGCTTTTCTCCAAATCTATTGAGCCAGTTCAACCAAACTTGTCAAAAAGCATCTTTAGGTGAAAGGAATTCAAATTTGTTCAAATGAAGGCATGCTTTTAGAATCCTCTCCAGAACTACTTGATCAAAAAAATGAAGATTCAAGTTTGTTGAAATCCTACCCCGGGCCTAGGATGGGTCACAATGGGGGATGTGTGTCAAACTTTAACGTAGAAATTAATAGAAAAAAAAATCAAAAATATTTTTTTTTTCAAGAGCAACAAATCTTGAGTAGTCATATTTATATGGAAGCATCCTCAGATAATGTAGACTTAGAGTTGTTCAAATTACGCAGCACTGTTAAGGCCTACTATGAGAAATCAACGGAAAAAAGACCTGCAAAAAGGAGGATTTTTTTAAAACTGAATTTATTTTAATTAAGCTGTTTTATTATCACAGAACTTTAATACTTATGGAAATAGCATAGTATAACCCACTCTGCACTGTATGAAGTTTAGTCCCATCGATGGACAGTCACGTTATGAATGCATAGTTCGTGTACTGAATGTAAGTCATTAACACATTTCAATATCCCAAGGGCATGCCCTGGTTGAAATTAAAAATTCAAGCTATTAATTGTGTCTGCATACTTTGTTGTTTCTGAAAAGTGCTGCTGCTTTGAATAGAATTCGCTTTTTAAGAGTTAAATTTTCAAGTAAATAGGCCAATGTCGAAATATGTTTGACTTTTACCAAATACTTTGTGTACTTATAAAATCACGCCCTCGATTTAAAGAAAGCAGCAGCACTTTTCAAATTAAGGAAAATATCCTTTATCTATACTCAAAAAATGGTTCAGATCTATGCAGTGTATGCCCTTGCGAAAGTACGATTTTATGAGGCATCTCGATGTAAAATATACGTAGCCTGTAAATAAAATCACGACCATAATTAATAAAATACATTCTCTTGATAGTTAATTAATAATTGCACTAAACAAAGGATATACATTGGTATTTATCAACTATTTAAAACCTGTAAATAATATTCCGTTTAATAATAAAACGCATTTTTCATTCTTAAAAAATTCCTCGATCTGCCTCTCACAGCACATGAAATACGTCATTTTTACCAATATGACGTCATGTTTACAAGTTCATCGCGATCAGTGCTTTGTTTATAACCAGCTACATGGGATTTAACTAGCAACTTTTTTAATG